ATTTAGCCTACGCGCGAAGTCCGAGAATTTTTTCTTGCGCTTCGCGATTCACCTCCTTCTGCCTACCATAACCCATTCAGCGATAATTCATAAATCCATGTCGCCCGAGACACTCGACCTTGACATTTGCTCACTTCACTCAATTATCACGATAACGTCATTATTGTCGGACGTTGATGATCGTCCTCGAAGCGCCCGAGAACCATCGACCACTGGAATAATCCAGCTTAGGCTTTTACGACGAATTGAGCACGTTCGTTGCAAGAATCAATATAGTGCAACGGCGACCCCCAACCTCGTAAAAGCTCAATAATAAAAGTTACAATAATGGTTTCCACGATCCTCCCCTCACCCATATCTGAAAATCGAACCATCAGCCTAAAATACTCGTTGTTTGCAGGCGCGTATTCGCATTAAGAACCGGAAAAGGAAAGCGGACGAGCCGGCGTGTCCGGTTTGCAACGAGCGGCTCTCGGGCAGTCCGGAGGAGCTCAATCAGCACGTCGAGCGATGTCTCAACAAGCACAACGGCAACCCCGACAGGCAAAATCCGCACCTCGACGACGAGGAGGTGGACGTAGAGGGCGACGCCGAGACCTTCGAGGAGTACGAGTGGGCCGGTCAGCGGAGAGTCCGCGCCACATCGATGCTCCTCGGTGGATTTTCCGGTAAGACCAATATTCCTCGATACCGACCCTCTCCTTCGTCCTCTCATATGACCATCGCCATGTACGTTCATATCCTATGGCTTATCGAAGCTTGCGCAACAGAACTGCCTATATCTGCTCCTCACGCTCCATTTATTCATCCTTAAAGGACTCTTGTTAAAATTTCCGCAATTTTTTTTTTTTTTTTTTTTTTTTTTTTTTTTTTTCCCTGGGTCCTTCAACCTAATCCAAACGAAATGGTCGAATTTTATGGAGCAAAGTACGCGGGAGCATGGTCTAGTACTCTATCTTTGGCGTCTATTGCATAAGAGGAGCAGAAAACTCCTTGGTTTGATAATGCTAGAGTGCTTGTTGAGGCTCCCATCCGATTATCGAAAGACCGAGCTGTTACCCGAGAGTCCCGGACGTGCAGCCGGTTTATCCCGAAGGTCGGCGCTCCTAACGCTCAATTTAAGCCGCAGGCCTGGCGACGTCATCGAGCAATCGTAGTGGCCCGAACGGCGCAAGGAACTCGGACGCGGCCCAGGACGATGAGGACGTGGACCTCGTGGTCGATGGGGACGAGAGCGCGCAGTTCGGTCCCTCCCAGTATACGGAAGCGGATGTAGTAACGCCGCGACTGGAGGGCACAGCTCGAGAGCAAAAGGAGCGCGAGGCACTGCGCGAGGCCGTCATATCGCCCAACGGATCCCAGCAATCACAACTCGAGGTGAAGACCGAGCCCTCGACGAGTCCTGGCTCGACTTCCCAGCAGCAGCAGCTCGACAATGAGGAGACGACGGCCTCCTCGTCATCGCCGCCCTCGATGCTCGACGCCAAGAACGAGCCCGAGACGCCCCTCGTCGAGGCCCTCCGCGGACGCATCCGGGAGCTCGAAGCCGAGACACGCGGCCAAGCATTCAAATGTCTGATCTGTATGGTAAGTGGCTCCCTCTATCTAACTTTCTTTACCCTCCTCACTCTCTCTCTCTCTCTCTCTCTCTCTCTCCCTTTCGTCGACCCGTGTGCTAAAAGAATTTTCTGAGGACACGATTCCTGCCACTCGCGCCTTACGTACTTTCTCCAAGTTTTTTTTAACTTCATTGGCATTCCTTATGACTTCGTTATAGCGATACTATAATAATAATAATAATAAGAAGAAGAAGAGTAATAATAATAACGACGACAACAGTAACAATGATTGATGATAATAATGATAATGATAGTCCTAAAAAAAATATGAATTGAATTAATTCTAACTATAATAATTATATCCTTGTAATCGATAGGCGCGCTTTGTAAAAATATTTTATTTTTTCATTAGATCTTATGACTTTGTATAAAATTAATTATATCGATAAACCATTCGAATATCTCTTCCTAAATAACCTTATAAACTCATGAAGTAGTACGATATTTAAATTGTATGAGATATTATATTAATCTAACTTTCTACTAATCAAAGAGTCATCATATCCGCATGTGCGTTGATAAATGCAATATTAGTATAATTAGGATAATGAAAATAATATTTTTTCACTAGTCGAAGAGTAAACGAACGCTTTAATTATCCTGTCGATCATTATTTCTCCCGGAAAAATATTTAACATCTTTTCATGCAATTATTCGTTCTCATTCGAATTACATTGTTTTAAAAAACATTTTTAAGCCACGTGTTTGTACTGTTTTGCCTTTGTTTTTTTTTTTATTATTATTTATAAGTTCATTTTATGCAAATTATCGATCATATTAATTAATTCCTCTGCTTTTCAAAACATTTGTATTAATGACATTTATATTAAATTAACTCATGTTTCCTTCAACCCCGTTTAATGAATCGTTAACTATCGACGGTTTACATTCGCTTTCATCTTAATTTTTTTTCTGTTTTTTTTTTATATTTCTCTCTCTCTCTCTCTCTCTCTCTCTCTCTCGTATGAGCTGGGACAGTTTTTCTTCATAGGATGAAATACGGACATAAAAAGAGCAGTGACGTGGAAAAACTTTTTTCACCCACCGAAAGCGCCATTTAATGAGAGCACCTTCAAAGTTGAAAATTATTACGAATATAGCGTTGTTCCAAAAAAAAGGGTCGCGAAATATCAGAGTACGATTGTCATTATTAATGCACTAGAGTCAAAAAAAAAAGAGAGAGAAAAAAGTAGGAGATTAAAAAAACAAATGAATAAATGAACAATAAAAGCTAATACTTTAATCAAGTGATTTAACAAAAGAAAAAAAAATAAAAGAAAGAAAATCCGAGAAAATAGTGGTCTTGTTAATTCTAACGCGAGCAAACATTTAAATCAAATGTATAAAAAATAATTTTAAAGCCTTGTTATTTGCTTACGGAAAAGGTCACTTTATACCCTCAGCGCGCTTTACCTTTAGCTTTTCACTAGCAATCACATAAAATCTCAACTTAATTGTATCGTTCAAACATGCTAATTCCTTTCCTAAATATTTCTGACTAAATCCAATAAATTGATTAGCTTCGATTCATTCCTTTTTTCATAGGAACAATACAAAAAGCCGGTGACGTCAGTCTGCTGCTGGCATGTCCATTGTGAACAATGTTGGCTACACACTCTGGTAAGCACTTGCAAATTTATCAAAATCAATTGTAAGCAAAGTTTAGCGAATCAATGCACTATCAAGTTCAAATCGCTTTGGCCATTTTAATCAAATTCTGAGACTCACCGCCAATTATTAATTCCGCAAACATGGAGTGAAATTCAAACAAATGCCTGCACTTCCTTGCCCTAACTTCCTATGTAAGTCTCACAATTTTTAAAATATCAACGCCACATTACAAACGTGGCCACTTAACGTCCCCCTCCCCACCCCACCCCACCCCACCCACCCTTACACTTGCAAGGAACAATCAAACAACTATCGTCGCACCACACAACCCCATAGAATCAGCCGAGTATTTATTATTCGATACAAGCTAGCCCTCAAATAACTGACAATTCTGTTTAACGAAACGATCAGTCCCCATGAGGAAAATAGTGCGGCTGTGCTGGGAAAATCAGGTGTATAACCGGTGTACGTTAACGCATGCTTCCAGGGGGCGAAGAAGCTGTGCCCGCAGTGCAACATGATCACGTCGCCGTCGGACCTGCGCCGGATCTACATGTGAGGACGACCGAGCGGCCTCCGCTGAACCGGATATCGCCGTCGACCCGCGCCCGCCGTTCTGTACATTTGTAAATTACCTTATAAATTAACGATGCAAAGCTGATTTACCTCCTACCATCCACCGTCTCCCCATACCCGTGTATTTTAGCTCTATGGCTATAATAAATTAACTCCTATAGAGAAGCGTTTAACACCGTCCTGGTGAATCTAACGAATCCTCCTCTCACTCACGCCCTCCACCTCATTCACACGCTCAATATCGCCCCTCTCCTCTCTCTCTCTCTCTCTCTCTCTCTCTCTCTCTCTCTCTCTCCCTCCCTCCCTCTCTCTATCTATCTATCTATCTCTGTCTCTGTCGCTGTCTCTGTCTCTGTCTCTTAAGGCAACCATATGCAAGTATACACCAACGCGTACACAAAATATATTGATAAGAAGAAGGAGAGAGAGAGAGTGAGAGGGGGGGGCGAGAAGGTATGCGTGTGTGTAATAGAGAGAAGGGTGAGAAGAAGAGAGAAAGCAATTGTAATTATCGCATTGCCAACAGAAAGCGTTCTCGTTCCATAATGCCGCGCCATAGTCAAGGAAAACACCATAGAATTGACATTTGCTCGGTATATTTGTTTAATACGTATTCAAGTCAAGTGCGATGTTGTATCGCCCCGATCGCCTGTTTTTCCAACGAGTTTCTACGATAATCTCGCTCTTACAAGATGAAATTACATATTGAACTCGATTGGAACGTTGGCTTAGTGCAAAAGGAAAATTATAATCGCTATGCGAAACTGATGAAATATTTACATCTCTGCTAAATTGACGAATTATTTATTTCAAGTTGCGCATTCCGTGTGTCTGTATTAAAGTGATTAGAAATTTATATGAAAAGGCCCATGGAATGTTACCGACGGACTAACTCTGGATCTTAAATGCGTATGTAAGATA